AGTATATATATATATCCGTATTCATATCCATTTCCATATGTACATATATATATATGTAGTTGTGATTGAAACACACAATAATTATTTATTTACGATGCCAAATTGAAATCATACTTCCATTTTCTCGTGTTAAACCGATTCGCTCCATTTCGTTTTTTCCTCGGTAAAATAAACAATTCCTAAAAACATTTTTTATTTTGTCACCTTTCTGTCACCTGCGGACAAATTGAGCTATTTATGCCTCAACAGCTACCTCTTTCCGCTTGCCAAATAAGGGAATCGGCACATGGTCAGTACGTCCGGCCGGGCTTCCTTGTTGTATGTCAAGCACAAGCTGATGAACTCCTGTTAGTCACACGTGTGTGGAGCAAAAATATGGTTTATAGAAATGAACATAAAAATAAAAAAACTGCCCGTGCGTGTGAGAGATAAAAGCCCTGGGCAGACTAACCTACAATCGTGCTTGAAGTGGAAGATAGTAATGAAATTCGTATACACATACAAAACATAGTATTGTGATGGTTAGGCGATGTAATGCTTCGAAAGGTGGCGTCTATTCAGCTATCATACACAGCCTGAAATGAGTATATTGTTTCTCCACCGCATGCTTGTATCGTTATTTTGAGTCTGTGGCATGGGAGGCTCAGTAGCAATTCCACTGAAAAAGGGAAAAGGGTAAAAGGGTAAAAGGGAAAAAGGGCAGGGACAGCGAACATGACATTGTTCGTGACTAAACCCTAAACCCTAAATCCTAAAACAGCTCAGTCGTTCGCATACCTTCGTATCATCTGAGACCACGGGCCTTGGCGGGAAAGTCACCTCGCGCGCGTTTAGTATCGTCCCAGTTTGTCTCAGCGAGTTCTGATAGCAAGAGAATAACAAAACGTCGTGGTTAATAAGTTGACTAATATCGGGCTAGAACTGGTTTCTTTCGTAAGACAGTCACTGGTGTAATGGGTATCGTCTCACTTCGTTTGAGCGAGTTTTGGTGTCGGGGAGACTACTACAGATTTGCGATTGAGAATGGAACTAAAATCGGGAAAGAACTGGTCCATATTAGTTCACATCGATACAATCTCCGAAAAATACTCGCGACGTGATGCATCGCTGCAAATTGGTTGAGTGAGTGCTAATGCAAAGATTGGGAACAACGCTATGATCGAGAACGGAAACAAAATCAGATTGTGGGCTGATCCGGTGAAAGAAATTGAAACAGACTGAAGTGCGGTACTATCAGGCAGAAGGTGCCGACGCGATATATTTGAGTGAGTACTGACGTGGAGGATATGACAATTAGCGTGACTTAAATAGGGAACGGTTTGGGGGGAAAGTAGCCGATTTGATTTCAAACCCTACTTCGAAATATTTTGAATTAGGGTAAAGATACTGTGCGAATACTACACGCCAAAAGTTTCGGTTTTAAAATGGGGAAGCGTTTGGGGGGAAAGTGGTCGATTTGATTTCAAACCCTACTTCGAAATATATTGAATTAGGGTAAAGGTACTGTGCGAATACTACACGCCAAAAGTTTCGGTTTTAAAATGGGGAAGCGTTTGGGGGGAAAGCGGTCGATTTGATTTCAAAACTTACTTCGAAATATATTGAATTAGGGTAAAGGTACTGTGCGGATGCTACATGCCAAAATTTTCGTCCCGATATGTTTTTGGTCTTAAAGATAACGAGACCACGAGGTATCGCGCTTGGTAATGTGAATGAGGTTGCTGGTTCAATTGTGGTCTGTCTGATTCCAACATTTAAACTTCTCGTGCAGCAATTGGTACCAGGTAACACCTGCAGAGCCCACACCGACCTTCGGCGTGACAGGCACGTTGTTGTTCATGAAGACTATCTCAGGCAGCCAGTTCACCAACAATCACCCCCCACCACAGACACACACACATCCATCAATACGTGTACACCTACCTGTGACATCTCATCCCCAAACGGGCGCTTCCCGTACAGCAACTGGTAGAAGATAATCCCGGCAGACCACACATCCACCTTAGACGAGATAGTCACGCTGTTATTCAGCAGGAAGGTCTCGGGTGGCAGGTACCAGTACGTGCCAGCGCCTTGACTGGTGAGCTCCATCTCATCGCCGTTGACCAGATCACACTCCTTCATTACTTTGGATAGCCCGAAATCGGTCACCTGGGTGCAGAGGTAAACGTGTGATTCGGGGGAGAAACATGCGTGAGTTGGCTTGCCCTGTACGTGAGATGATGGGTGGGGTGTGCAGGACAGTGTGTCATAGGGAAAAGTAGCACTATGGGAGATAGGTATAGACAGCAATGCCGGAATCACATTGGTACGTAAGGATGTATATACCGATATATATGCGTGCAATTGGGATTCGCTCATACATCTAGAGTGCACCGATGTATATACACCAACCTGCTAATACATGACATAATCATGTACGGCACGTATCTACATACATACATACATACATACATACACTTATCACCAGTAGCATAATAATCTCCGCAACAGTTATGTACTACACAATTCAAAAGCCGCTTCGAACCGTACCTTTATCTCATTGTTTTGATACAGAATATTCGCCGGTTTCAGATCGAAGTGGATAACGGGGGGATCGATCTGATTGAGGTAATTTAATGCGCTAAACAGCTGCGTGATGACACATCGAGCCTCCTGGAGTTCAGCCGAATATACAAGACATTTGTTGGAAAATATTTAATGGGTGAGAAAGTATGAATACATACACACATACACACACACAATATATATATATTATAATA